TTTCTGCCTCTTTTCAGGTGATTGATAAAAATGTCTGTATGGACTTTACTACTCCAAGCAAGCTGAACAAGTGCTAGTGGCTACTTGTTTCCAGAACACGGTCTAAGAATTTCCAAAGTTTAACTGATGGTAGGGGGAGTGACAGCAAGTGTTTTTAAGAAATCTCCAGAAGACTCAAGAACTGATCTGTTCTGTTTGACCTCTATATTGGCTTTCTGCATTAACCATGATCATACCATCATCCAGTTTCCTCAGCTGTAAAATATTCCCCAACAGCGTTAACCTCTCTCATGTCGATGATACAACTGATCTATTGAGTTGAGCAGTTATAAAGAAAATGGTAAGCAAACATCTGACATAAAGCTCAATCCTTTGATTTCCCAGCCTTGATGTAGAAATGTCAAGAAGAAGTCATCCCTGCTTGCCCATTTAACCTAATGAAGTGGAACAAACGTATGTAATGTACTTCATGCTGTGAACAGCATGAGGCTTCAACAGTTCCACTAAGATGACTGTTTGTCAGCCTGGATGTAAGGCTGTGTGCTCTCATAGCAACGCTAAATACAGTAGCAGGGAATTAAAATCACATGTGAAGACAAGCACTGACAAAAAACTTGAAGCAAACAAAATAATTGTAAGCATTCTCTTAGCTGCAAACTTTCAGGTCTGCATGCCTCACACCTCTTCGCTTCTTTAAAATTTACCTACAACACAAAACAGAGTAAGTAAAATAAAGTCCAAACCAGCAGCCCAAAACATTTGACTACCAGAGGGCAGAGTTTTGACTGCAAGCCTTGTTGCAAGGACTGAAGTATTTGTATCAGACTTGTCGTAGACAACACAGCAACACTCTTCCTGTTGGAACCAAATTACAGGCTCCTCACTCCCCGGTGAATACTAAGTTTGATCTTATTTTTTTCTCTCTCTCTATGGAAGTGGTCCCAGAGTCACAGCTTCGGTTGGAAAAACATAGATCAGCTTCCAGGCTGATCTTGCTCATTTGCTAAGTACCTGGGGATTAAGGCATTTCCATGGAAGACTGGGGTCTGAGTGTTTTCAGGGTCTGAGACTAAACTCCAGCACTCCCCTCTCAGAGGGGAATGAAAAGTGCACAGCAACCTTATCTATCTTTCCCTAGATGCATAATATTGATGTTTCATGTAAAGGGCCTCCTCCAAATGAACTTTATGCTGAACTCTCTACACAGGATATGTATGCCCTGAGCCAATCAACTGACCTCAAATTCTTCAGGGATTTTGGTTCATCCCCCAAATCCTTGAGACACATGAAGACAAGTAGTTCAGCCCACCAATTTTGACTAGATTTATTAACACTTATTCACATTTGTATGGAAAACGGTTGAGGTTTTTTGTTTGGTTTCGGATTTTGTCTTGAATTATCTAAATACCTATTGAAGCACTCTTCAGCATTTGTTTCTATAGATTCCAAGAATATTTTTTTAGATTTTTCTTTAGAAATCATAATTATTTTATGAAGCAGGAATAGCTATGTATCTCTTTGTTGTTTAATGGTGTTTCATAGTAGGAGCTGTTTTAACAAAGTATCAGAAAAAAATTCCTTCCTTCATGCCCAGTCTTACAGTGCTTACAACTTTAGGTTGAATGGCAAATTAAATTTCTAAGGGAAGGTTAATATCTGCTGTCAGAAATCAACGTATTCAGATGCAGCAGGTACCCACAGTGATTGATCTCAACAGTTTAGATACTCTTTCTAGGATGGGATGTCTAAATGCGTAGATGGCTAATATCAAGTGAGATTGCTGCCACTCAAAAAAGTGAATTTGCATAGGGCTTTCAGCTAAATGCTTTCCTTCCAGTGATTCATGGTTTGCAACTATAACCTTGGACTCCAACAGATCTATATTTTCATTTTTTACTGCTTAAACTGTAGTGACACGTGTAAATTTGAATTTCATGCAAAATTTCATTTGCTGAGTATTTCATTACCTTAATAATTTCATTCCTTTTTATTTGTCTCCAACTTCAGGACCTTTCTAAATTAAAAGATGTCCCAACAGCAGCAATGATTTTAAAATCACGTTTCACAATACATAAATATACCTGTGCATATTCTATCTACTGTGATTTTTATTTTTTTTTCAGATTTTGCTTTGGCAGCACAGTACAACTGTATAATCCCCAATTAAAGTATTCAGCTGCCACGAATTTCTTTAATATACTCTGGTTCACTAGAAAGGTGAGCACACCTCTTTTACATTTTTGTTTATTGTCATGATTGTATAGCAACTCAGCTATTTTAATTAGACCCTAAGGGCCTTCTCTAGAAATAAAAGAACAAGAAAAGGCTTTGATGATAGGTACTGAAGGTGAATGTTTCCTAATTAACTTGCCTCGAATGCCAGAGGAGATAAGGTAAAGGTGCTAGTGCTGACTTGACTTCCATAGGAAAGATCTCATGCAGTATTATTAAACTTTGACCTTTGCTGTTTGTATCTTTTGATCTTAAGAAGTCAATGCACAATGTTAATCCAGTCACAGTATTTGGAGAAATCACAATATATGACATGCTCTATGACATTCATCCAAAGAAACATTGGTAGGTAGAAGATGAATTTAAACGAACAATGAGAAAAATGTATCAGTAGATGTGAAATAAAGAGGCTAAAGTGGAAAACAGAATTTAGTATGCTAACATTATTATAGCTCATAGACTATTATATATATGGTAAAACTTTTAGCTACCTCTATCTTAGGCATTTTCTCAATTATATTTTATTGTTAAAAGCTAAAGAAATGGTTTTTATTTCACATAGCATACTGTTTTAATTTATTAAAATTTGCTGCAAACAATAATAACCAAAGCCACTTAAAATCCCCTGCTTATGTATGTAGACTTTCAATTGTGATTGCCAGGGTGTTAAATTGCTCCCATGTTAACAGAAATATGTGTGTATACACGCAATCTGAAATAAGCATACGTACATATGTGTGTGAATACATAGATAAATATGTAAGGTACAGCTTATAATTTATCTACTCTGTATTACAGCTTTTTGCAAATTATAAGCATGTGCTAGAAAACCTGACTAGCAAGTGAATTGTCACTAAGTTTTTGAACATTATGGACTTTACTGTGGGAGTACTTACACTGATATAGAAAGCAAAAAAGGTATTTCTGTCACACCATTTCAAAGATGGCATATGCAATATTTGGGTGCAAAAAGACAAGTGAGTGTTTATAAAAAATTATCCAAACCTATCTTTCAATATCCAAAATACTGTTTACTCTTACCAGCAAATGTAGATGCTTCATTTCCTATCTAGTGAAAATGTTCTACCCTAATGTCTCAAACACTTCCCTAGCTTTTTTTAATAAATCCCTTAATATTATTATTTGTGTTAAATAGTTCCTGTTTAAAAGTTTGTAGCATTGAGGCAAGTTGTGCTTATAAATGCAGGAAATTAGACTTAAAACTGGATGGTGCTATACAAACCAAATTACTTCTCATGTTTTCTAATAGCAGGTTAAAATAAAAGAGATTTCTTGTTAACTTCCCTAATATATTGTAGGAGTTTCATAAATTGTTAAATTCTACACTATATTGCGATTGGTTAACTTTCCTAATTTTTAATTCAGTGTCATTGTACAGCTACTCTCCCAATATTCTATGCTTTGCTGTCTACAGACTGTAAAGTTAATGAATTCATCAAAATTATTCAAAAAATAAAACTGTTGTAAAAAACCTACACAAATAAACCTGCATTTGCTATCACAGCAAAGTCAGATAAACATATTTCAGCTTTCACTAGATATATGATCTATTACTTTGCAAGAAGTATTATTTCAAACTGTTGTATCACTAATGTTATATGACTACTCAAATGCTCTACAGAGAAAACAAAGTCACCTCTGTCACTGGATTACACATGAGACATTTCAGGCAGACTGAGTATTTAGGTTGCAATTAGGTGGGTGTCAACTTCCTGCCTTTAAGAGCCACCTTTTATATCCTTAACTAGGGAGAAATCCTGTGCTGATAATAATCGACTATCTTGGCATCAGACTTTCAAAGAGTACTGTGCTATATAATTCCTCACATCAGTCTTTAGGAAACATGACAGTGTCACAATAGATGGCTTATGGCCTCGTAGAAAGGACTGAAATAGCTTATCTGTATTCCTTTCACAGAATTTACAGTTGAGCTGTCAGCCACCAAATTCCCTGTATAAAGGAGGGAAATTGTACCAGGAAACCTTTCTGCTACCACTCCTAGAAAAAGACTTGCCACACCAATGCTAAGGACACTGAAGGAGAAGCTTGAGGTCACAATAATATTTACAAGTATTTTCAAATACATGGTGATAACAATGGTGATAACAGTTGCTGATTCTACTCTTCCTTAGTCATAGACCTCTCTCTAATCACCACCAGAAATGCCCGTTTCAGTGCAATATATATCAACACTATTGACCATTCGAACAAAGGACATCCTTCTGTTAGCATGCCCTAAGGTGATTTCTAAAGCAACATCTTTTGGTTATTTGCTTTATTAAAAAGACAAAGGAGGCATATATGGACACTTCTAGACAAAAGGAATATAGCTTGCCTGCTAGCAGCTGCTAGATGGTTTCTGGTCCATCAGGAACTGTAATATGGCCCTTATGAGCATAATGTAACGGGCCTCAAGGCTTTGTGGACACCACCTCAGAATCACACATACTAAGGTGACTGTACAGGGTGACATATTGGATTATACCTGTTAACCATGATAGAATGGAAAGGTGCATCTCCTCACTCTCAATCACTGCTCATGTGATTTTCTGAAACCATAAAATACCAATGCTAAATACTTTAAAAATCCACACAGCTTTCCAGTACTACTTTCAAATCTCAAGATGGAAGTAGCATGTACTTTAACCACCAGGAAGAAGTGCAAAAATCCAGTTTCTATGTGCTGATGTGAATGCAGTGTTATTTGTCCAGAACTGGGAATATCACTTTATTACATGATGTCTTACCATCATCCTTGTCAGGTACAATGGTAATTTGAGTGCTTGGGAATTCTGTACCGATTCTTCCACCCATTGGCATGCTCAGCATAACATCAAAGGTCTCAGCCTCTTCATACAAGGAATCATCTATAATAACAATCCGACACATTTTTTCTCGTTCGTCTTTGTCAAAACGCAGAATGCTGTTGTGATCCTCGGGCCTGGATATGTAGTCAGAGTAAGACAGTACAGAGGTTGGGGCAGTGCCAGTTGCTGTTCCTGTGGCATAAAAGGAAAACAGTCACTATACATACTGTGATATATATTCTAATGATCCCCTCACAGAAGCTGAATTTTATTTTCATTATTATCTTTTAATTTCTATTTACTTTTAGGTGAAAGATGGGCTGAAATCTCTGAACAGGTTGTATTTCTGAGGCCTCTGGACAAACTAGTTCTGCATCTGATTCAATGCAAGCACATGGCTCCTCAAATTCATTTGCAGGTTTTAAGTCAGAAGAAATATTGTAGTCTACCACAAGAGACACAGGCTGACAGAGGAGACCCTGTGAGAGTTACAAATTAACTCCTTTAGTATAATTTATTCACTGAATATTCAGTGGACCAGAAATGAATTAAAACAGATAGAATTTGATGAAAAAAACAAATAATTCTTATTCCAGATCATCTCTCCAAAAATGTTTCTTCATGTCTTCACATGAAAAATTATAATAACAGCAGGGGTGTAGAGAACCCATGCCCTGTGTGAATATAATTAATAGGAGACCAAAAGATAGAGAAAGGAGAAGTATGCCAATTAAGCAATATTATTTTATACCAATTTCTTCCATATATAAACAAGTAAAGGATATCCTACGCAATCACTGCAGTGCTTTCAGTTCCCACCACTCTCAGATACATCGGGCTGCATAGAAAAATTTGCAAAACCATAAAGAACACAGATCCTCTTCACCTCCTAATAAATGGCAGAAATTTGGAACACGATAATTTTTCAGCTTATTCAGAATTTTTCAGCTTATTCAGTAACACTCTAAGACTGATTGCATTGATGAATACATTTCCAGTTGCGACTGAAGATATTTAGGTGAAAAATGTAATGAACAGTTATAAACAAATCTATTATGCAATAGATAGTGCAATTCTTTTTGCTTTTCTGCCTGTTTTCCATTTTTAACTTTTTTTTTTTTTTTCTCCTACAGTAAATTCTGTTACCTTGTTGTGTGTAGCAGATAACCATCAGTTCCTGGCTCACGTCTCCACTTCTTCTGACTGGAATAAATAATTCACCAACGTCTTCTTTAATAGTATAGGTGGACTGAGGAAGAAAGACTGTTGATTCTGTAAAGAACAGACACATCTGTTTACATAGATTTATGACCTCATAAAGTCACCTGTAAGTTAGCCAGAAGCATTTTAGCATAATCTAAAGGGCAACAAATAACTCATATTTACCATCAATGGGGATAAATTTTAAGAAAAATATGGAGGGTGAGAGACGTAGAGTTTCTTAGTCTTTCAGAATTGAAAATCAGATCATTAGGTCTGAATTCAGAAGTACTCACTAAGCAGTCTCTGACATAACCAATTAACTTATCTAGGGCTAATGGCGCAAGACATTGTTTGAAGAAATCTTCCACAAAGGTCTATATTTTTATTATTTCCATGGTATTTTACTATTAACTTTTAATAACAGAAGCATCGATAGCATAGCTCACACACAAGCAGCAGTTCTGAAAAGTTGCTGTTTAACTTATGCGATCAAGCTCACAGTAAAACTCATTTGGTATTGAGGGGACGCAAGACTGAGCATTTGCTATCTCACTTTGACTTGGGCATTTGATTCAAGTTGGTTTCATGTCTACATTCCTGTTTTACTCAAAGGCGACATAGCCAATACAGTCAGTGAAGTCTGGAGAGCAATCTCACCCTAAAAGGTATTGGACCAAAACATGTCAGATCTTCTTTTTCAAGGAAACAACCCCACTAAAATGCATTTTAAACTCATTTATTATTTTATACTCATATAAATAGATTACTGAATTCTATGTTGTTACTGGAATTCAGGTTCAGCTTTGCTCTTGTCCTCTCAAAACCTCAAGAACAAAAGGTGGTTATGCATACAAGAACCTTTAGTTTCATTAATATGACTGCAATCCAAACAGGATATAATTCTGTAAAATATTAAATGAAGTGGTACCAGCTGACAGCACAAAGCAAATAATTTCATTATTGCAGAATACTTAGGCAAAAAATGTTCTGAAAATTGCCAGGTGACTTCTTTGAAAACATGTTCCATGTTTGATTTCTCCAACTGGAAAATACTACTAGCGTGATTTAAGGTAAAAGCTTGCCTTAAAAATGCTGTAATTTAGGTTTGATAAAATCTATACACATTCACTATTCCAGGAAATAAAAAAAAAAAATGCGAAAAGCAGCAAATCGCTACCTTGTCTTAAAGTAAACCAAAAGGTAACACTAAAGCCCCCAGATTTACTCCTTTTATTTCTCCATTTAGAATTAGTTTGACAAAATTAAAAACTCTATCCTTGAAGTAAAATGCAGGAATCTGATTTGTTCTTTTTCCTGTCTCTCTTATAATTATCCAACTAGGAGTAAAATGACACTATAAAAGTTTAACAGATCTTATGAACAGCATAAAAGATCAGGGGAGAATGATCTAGACCATATCAGCTAGTGTAAGAAAACACACCTTATGCAAGCTATTTTTGGAATAAAACATTAACTAATGTCCCATACACTGAGGGGCTGGTACAGCTTTTCAAGCAAACTCACTATTTTGGTGCTAAGACTTCACCATTAAAATCAATTAATTTTAAAATCATTTTCACTGGAAGCAGAATAAAACTTTTGATGGCTCCTCTTTAGCTGGCATCTGACCTTCTCATTACCTGCACTTTAAAAGATTATCAGGAAACCCAATCCTTCCTCTCAGAGTTCTTTCTCTGTTTTTCCTGTAGATATTCCTTGATTTGCAGTGGTGCACTGATTTTCTCCTATGCAATCCACTTTATGAATAATTACTAAAAATTATCTTAATGTAAAATATAGAAAAAAAATTGTTTGCATTAAGACAACTCAGATGATTATCTTGGATTGTGCTATCTCACTGATCATACAAAAATAGATTTAACACATTTTCAAGTAATTTCCATATCTCAATGACAAAATACGGATGTCTGACAATTTTCCTGCAGTCCTCTTCAAATGTTAATTAGGGAAGGCTATTTAAAACAATCTGTTACTGTCACTCAGTATGTGAAAGACTCCTTAAGGATAGTTTGGTGTGACCATGGCCCAAGAGTTCAAGTGTCTGGATGCAGTTAAAAAATAACGCAACCAGAGCACATTCTAGTTTCTTTCTTCAATTTTTTTTCTCCTTCTTTTTAATAAGCTTTTTTTTTCATTTACATTTAAACATAATTTTATTTTTTTCTTGGTAGTTTGTGATGTCCTTGGTCTAGTGAACCCTTACTGAGCTTCTCAGCTTAAGACCTAACAGACACAACTAGTTTGCTCCAAGACCCAGACTTGTTGGTACCAATCAGCCTGTATTTTCTGTACCATCCTCTCCCACATGAATTATCATGGCAAATTAAATCAAATCAAACACCTATGCAGATACACTCTGTTTGCAAACACACTGAACTGAAAACCTGTTAAACCTAAAATGAAGACAAAACTAGACAAGCAACAAACTAGAGATAATATAGGAAAAATGCAGGTATTTCATTAAAGAATGCTACCTTAGTCATATAGTCATGAATCACTTAAAGTGGTAGAGGACAAACAGCTACCCAATGCCCAAGTCTGTCTTCAGAAATAATCTAAGGAAAGGTAAGCTTTACTATCCAATGTTACTCACAGCATTTGCTCAGCAGCTTGCCTTTTGGTATATGCCCATATTGGCAGTACAGTTCTGGAAAGGTTCTTACCATCTCCTGGGTCGATAATTTCCACCGTGGATACAGCAGGAAATTCCAGAACTGCCATGACAGGCTCAGAAAGAACAATTTGGAAGGATTCAGACTGTTCATGTTCACCATCACTCAAAATCCGTACTCGCCATGTAGCTAAGGTTTGGCCAGGATTAAACTGCACCTGTTTCTGAGCTTTTCCTCTGAAGTCTCTATCTTTCTTGGCAGTGCCATCTTTGGTGCTAATACCTGACAGAAAAAAAAAAAAAACAAAACAAAAAAAAAACAACAAAACAAAACAAAACAAACAAGAATTCAGGTAATTAAAAGCATCACTTGCAATTTTTCTCTCATTATGTCATCTTTAAAAAAAAGACTTTTTAGAAAAATATACTTTCCACAACCTGAGAGTGTTCAAGCCAGCTCTGTTACTCTTGACCAATTTTATACTGGTGTCACACATAGAGGTGAAAGTATATTAATTAACATTATGAAATGCAGTTTGGACAGAATTAGTCAAAGCAAAACTAAATACTAGGAAACCTTTATATTCTCAGAGGTCACAGTCAAGTTTCCATTTCTCTGTAATTCAAGAATGGATTCAGTTCAAGAAAGGCAAACAGATTTCCCCCCTCTTTAACATTCTGGGTTCTCTTCTGTTCCAGAACATCTAAATAACATGCTGCCTGAAACCCTCAAAAATATTTATTTCTCTTAGAAGAAAATAAAAACACACCTGAAAAGTTCAGCCTTCAAATGGAAAGGTAAGGAAAACATAAAGACATGAAGGGGTAAAACATACAGAATAAGATGAAAGATGAACCAATCTGAACCAGTGTGGTCATTCCCACTACAGTAATCATTGTTTTAAATTGTTATCCACTTATTTCAGTGTTTGAGTAATGACAGTCACTAAACTCAAGTCAAGCTGAAACTGCAATGTCATGGGAAAAAATCCACGACACACAGCACAGGCCTTGTAACCTGGTACCTAGGCTGCCCGAAAACGGCTTTTCACTGGCATTTGCCTCACAATTTCAGGCTGTCTGACAGCCCCTGATGGAAATTAGAGAGCCCTTCAAAACCATCTACACCTCATGCATTTGGCCTCTGTTTGAACAGCTCTCAGGTTTTCAGAAAAAACATAAAGTTCCCCCTTCTCTGACTGTTTCTTCTAACTGTATTTTTTAGTGTATTAAAATGTATTGCCTTTCCTCACAAACCTTGACTTTCTTGTTTCCTGCTTGGGCCTCCTCCTAAGTCATAGCCAACATTTTACGTAACCTACAACCCTTCAGCCGCTTTGGTGCTGCACATGGACCAGAAAGGCCAGTAAGCACCTTAACCAAAATCTTTTATGGTATTTCGAACACTGTAATTCCACTTTGCAGGATTAAGGTAGTCAGAGGCTATTTATTCAAACTGGTTTTGTTGGATTTTTAGTCAGCTCAATCCAGAAACTTAACTTGGATCTATAGGTAGAAAGCTTTGTAAATGCTATTTCAAGAATCAGAAGTAAAATCAGTATCTGTTAATCAGTACCAGTAATTAATTTAAACCACATATCTGTAACTTTATATTTAATTAATCTCTTTTGTTCTTTCACTTGCTTTAAAAGAAATATATTATCGAAGTTAGTCCACTGTCCAAAACAAAGTTTTGGTTTTTAAGTTAGATTCGCTTTTAAGTTAGATTCACTTAGCTAGTACTTACATCCCTTAAATCTCATGTCAAAACAGGTACCCTAACTACATCTTAATACCTGAAACTCAGATTCTTATTCAGAAAGAGACTTAAACAGAAGTCATGATTTATAAGCATGAGCTTGTGCTCTATGCCAGGTAAATACTTACGTATCTCTGCAAAACCAGCTTGAAACTGAGTGCCTTTTCTAAGCATTGTAAGCTTACAATAGGTTTGACATGAAACTATAAAAGGATAATGCTCCCTGGTCCAAATGCATCACCGGGAAGAGGATGGGAACAGATCCAGAAGCTACAGACAGGTGTGAGGTTGCAGACTGTGATAACACAATCTTTTTTCAGCTTTTCACTCTCCAGACACTGCAAAACTTTCAACACCTCTTGTATCAGCCTTAGTCGACTGCCAAGACTGACTGAAGAAAATGAGCCTAATGTTCATAGCTGCTAATCAGACCAGCTCACAATAACCTTCCTGGAAAATTATCTATGTTTATTGTTGTTTTTCCAATTGCTACAACTGTATTGTCTCGTTACAGGAAAAAATAAAATCTGGAAAGAGACTGTACTCTGTGAAACAAACACAACAGTGGCATCAATCAAATAAAAAGCAGAAGGACTGAATCTTGGGTTGTTGAGTCAAAAATAAAGTGCAGAAGACTGAAAAGATGAAAATTTCATTATATTACTAAAGAAATCACATATCCACCATAACAAAAGATACTTCCTTTAATAAATGAACATATTCCTTTGAATCTAGCTTGCTTATTACGAAACACTAGCAAAAGGATATAGCTGTATTGATACATTTTATCAGCTATCTGGCCAGCGATTTATGGAAGCAATTAATAAGGCTAAAATAGCACTTACTTATAAAAGACGTTTCTCCCAGGTAACCTCTCCGTTTAAGAACAACATCAAGATACTTGGAGTCTTCATTTACTAAATAATACTCCTTTTCTAAGGAGATCCATGCCCAGTTTAGGCGAAAATGTTGATTCTTCAGCTTATTACCTCCTGCAAAACAAAATTATAAAAATATATTTATCATTTTTTCTTTTTTTGTTAAATACTACTTTCTCTTCTGAGGTTAACAGAAGCTGGGTAAGATGTGTATCTTAGCTGACTATTGCAATCCAAAGGATTTAAAGATTTAAAACTAAGAAATAACAAGTAAAGAACCCAACCATGATAAATTTGGAACATATAGGAATAAATTTTATCTTAGATGCATATAAACAAGTATATTAATTTAATTTAATTTTATTTTATATTTTATTTTAGTTCAAGGGGAAAAGAACAAGAATTAATCGAAATATATTTGGGAAAATTACAAAAATTGTGTATGATCCAAGTTTCTGCAGAACCATATTGGTATTGCCACACACAAGGCAGGACGTCACACAGAGCTTCCTTGATATGGTCAGAGTGCCAGAAGCACTGGAAGACCCTCAGTATTCAGAGAGACTGGAGATGATACCTACTATCTTTTAGTCTGCATTTACCCACGCAGCCTGCTTCTAAAACTCAGTATTTTGTTCATTAAATCTAACGATTTCTGCTCTTACTGGTTTAGAATTGATTCATCACCACTGCATGATTCTAGGAACAGCTTTCACATCTTCCTAGGAAATGGTTCCAAGAAGATTAAGTATCCCTGATACATGCTACTGTTTATACCTATGCTTATGCCCTCCTAAGCTTAACTCTTAAGTTACTTAAATCTTGAGTTGAGTATGTTTGCCTGTGTCACCTAAGAAGATTTAGAGAGATACAAATTCTTATTAGAATGATCTTAAAGTATTTTGCAACCGATCTGTCTTCACAATTTGGTGAATGCCCCAAACTGAGTAAGTTGCTGAGATGTGTACTGAGTACTAGTTTTTAGAGTCTAGACCAAAAGATGTCCTCACAGTTCTTTTTACATAGTTATTTTTATGTGGGCACAACTGTAGCAACACATTCCTGGTGAGCAGACTCCAGAGATCCTTTCCAATGTCTCTACTGTAGCTGTAGCACAACAGCTTCCCTACAGTCTTACTAATAGGAACAAGAATGGTTTCTGTGCACTCAAACACTGGGAATTGAAAGCACAGGACAACAAGCAGTACATTCAGCTAGGGAAACTGAACCTTTAAGATGGACCAAGCCAGCACCTCTGGCTAGGAGCTGTGGATGGCATTGTCCTGAATTTGAAGACTATATTTCTTCTTACAGTAATTGGAAGAACCTTCACAGTCCTCCTCAAACAAAAATGCCCATATAATTATCAGCAGATGTAGGCTTCCTTTTTTGAAGCCAAAGCAACGCAGGAATACAGGAAACATCCCTCAAAGTTTTGAGGGGATGATACGGAAGTCATTTGTTTCCACCTGCAAAGCACTAAGAACCAGCCTGATATTTAAGCAAATCCCACCCTAAGCTCTCACTCCCAGCAGAAATGGGAGTGAGACACAACAGTGTCTACAATTAATGGGATTTGCACAACTGTAACAAAACAGGAAATATTTCTTGAAATGGCAGGCTTCATGGAGCATTTCTTGGTCTAGAAAAGCAAGCCATAAATGACAACTGCAAACAGATGGCCCTCAAAGGTCCACTTAAAAATGCTACTTTTTTTCAGTTGGAAAGATAACAGCTGAAAAGAGCTAGCATCCATTCCATTGACTATAAACCAAATGACTGCACAATAGACTGAGTATCTCCAGTTAGATTAACACATTTCTGATAAAATATAGCATAGCTTTACTTTCTCATGTACAGTTTACCGCCATCTGTTCACTGATTTTCCACAGTAAAAAGGCATTTCTTGTCAATGTAGGGATTCTGGATGCCACACATAGAAGAGCTTGACAAATCAAGTCCTGTATATCATCCTATTGGATATGTTTGTTATTACTCAGGACAATTCTCTAAATTCCATAGCAAGAATCATATAACCTGTTCAGCTCATCGAAGGCAGATGCTCATTCAGCAACTGTCTTCTGGGAACATTTGCTTGTGTGAGAGGCTGTAGTCTGATTTCCTTCCCACAAGGTGCTGCTACTGAACAAGGCTTGCTCAGGTAATGACTGAAATGCACCAGGAGCCTCCTTTAGAACTTAACACTTCTGTACACAAGCCAGTGAATAAAGCAATTTCTCTGAGCAGCAGAGAAACATATCTAAATATGTCTGTTCACACATGGCTTAAGTACTGGAAGAAGAACTAAATGGAGGTTTATTTTCCCCTTCCAGTTTCTTCCATTCTATTATTTGAAAAATTAGGCAGCCCTTTCATATGCTTCCACTTTTCTCCAGAGGTAAGCCTCTCTGTTTCTTTATTGACTCATCTGTTAGAAAAAAACAACTACCATACTTGTGTGATCTCATATAAAGGCAATGGTCTTGGGTAAACAAAAGTAGGGATACTTGAGCATCACATTGCACTCTTTCCTCTGCTTCTTTCTTCTCTTTTGACCTCTGTTGTTACTGACAAAGGCTACAAAAACGCATACCAAAAACTAATGAGCTGCACAAACCCAGTAAGTATAGTGTTAGCTACACCAGCACGTACTTTAGGTTAGCCTTATGTTATGTCTTCTCATTAGTTTCCTGGGACAAATGTAACAGCGTATGTCTTATTCTTTAATCTAGTGAGAAAAGGTGGTTAGAGGGAAAAAATACTAAAATGAATATTCTCATTTAAGCCTTTATCGTTCTAACCATGCTGTTCATATATCTTTAAAAAGATGTAAAACCTCCATGAGAAATTCAGATTAGATTGTCAGAACTTTCTATCATGATGCAAAGAGCTCGGAGAAGGAAAGAATTAGCTCCAGTTCTCTCCACAGATCACTGGTTTGTGTGAAGACATTATAAAATCTATCTTTATCATTAGATCTATCTCTATCATTAAATCGTATCTCTTGAGCACTGACCTGAAGGGCATATTATAATGCTGATGAACATTTGATTGTAGCTTTGCTGTCCCTAGGAGCTACCTCAGAACCCTAATTCATAAACAAAAGCATACAACTATACGAGTGTTCACTTACTGACACAGTAGAAGTTGATGTATCTTGATAACAGATACTGGCTTCCCTACATGGTATCTGTGGCATAATCAGTCAGAGATGAATCAGCTAAAGAGTGTCTAACCTGTAAAAATGTAGCCACGAAGTCTCACTGTGTCCACAAGATATTGCTGTTAGAAACACAGCTGTCTCGTACAGCTTTATGGTGCAACATATCTGCTCTCTTTAGTCATTAAGTGGTTTTTTTTAATGGGAAAAAACACAACCTATAAATTCTTCCAGGGCAACAAACAAACACAAGAAAGAGAAGAAAAAAACAAATCCTAAACACCCAAAACACACCCCTCCCCTCCCCCCCTCCCCCCCCCCCAGCGGTAAATAAGGCACTAAGAACGAACAGTTTCCTTAATATTTTTAATTTGGTCTTTTTTCCTTTCTATTCTTATCTTGCTTCCTCAACAGACTACTAAAGGATGTTAAAAAGGAGAATCAGATCAACTGTGATAGTACAGGAATCATCATATGGCATAAATAAAACCACAGCAAGACATCTTAACAAAAATTTCCTCTCTCTTCCTCCAGTTCTTTCCAGGTTCTGCTACTACTTGCTGATTTGTTTCCATGTCTGCAAGAGCTGCAGTCTTTCTTTATTGGTTCAGAATATTTGACCCTACTGGGTGCCTCATTCAGGCAGGGTTACTGAAGTTGGACTACTCTACCCTCCTTGCTATGGATCTCCTCACTGAAGCAGGTACATAAAGCATATGAAGAAGAAAACCCACTCCTGAACAACCTGCAGAGAACACAAAGACAGCAAGAGAGTAAAGAAAAGGGAATCATCTGGTTTGAGACATTTGTCCTATTTTCTCATCCTCTGATCAGCCTTCTTCTGTGCCAAACCGAGTTAATCTATACCAGGATAAAGTTACTTCAGCAGTTTTAGTAGATCTAAAATCTGTTCTGAAATGCAGAAATCTTCATCCCAAACATCATTATTCCCTATTTAGTCAGGAAGCTCCCTGTCAACCTTAGCACTTCTCAAGTTTTTTGTTTCCCACACTATTTGCTAATGTTATTCCTGGTTTGTATAAACTTTTTTTGGCAGACTAGACAAGGAAGAGACAATCTTAGACAATTCTGATAGTCAGAATAGATACAGAGAAGATACTACATGTTTAACTCAAGATGGATAGCTTCAACAACTCTGATTTATCATAGTATGTCATGGTCCTAGGACATTCTACCTCCAGGTTAAAAAGGCAAAGGTCTCAAGTAATGCTTTGACTGTCAAACTATTAACACAACCCCACCTATGATATAGATGAGAAAAGTTCTTCAATCATTGGGGCAGCACGGCATTGGGCTAGATCTTTAAAGATCCCTTCCAATACTACCTATTTATAATTCTATGATCATACGTTATTCCCTCTGTTATGATCATCAGAAAAGGCATATCCTGTAAAACTGCGTTAACTTAATATAGAAAAATTATTTGCAGATGTGAAACGTGTAAGTAAACTCAGTATGTAAAATATACCATTAGAATGTTTTGAATTGACTTCAACGATGCATAAGCTAACTTCATAATTTTATCCAATTAGAAACCCATTAAAATGCTTCACTTTATAAACTTTTTTAAAAATGTACTACAATGAACTCCAATCACTAAACTTGCTGAACTCTGCACCCTTCTGCATTCTATCTCCCACTGTAACACAGTATATTTGCAGAACAACCAAAACCAACCCCTTAAACTAGCCCTTAGTGATTAGGGACTAAAACAATGCTATCTCTGACTTCTCATGAGAAAACACACTCTTCCCAGTGTTATGGACTTTGCTTGCCTTGAGTGTAATTGCTGGTATCCAATGAACTGTAGACAGTTTCCATCTTTCACTAGTTTCTGTAATTCTTTTTTGCTTCTATTTTATGTCTCCCCACAAGAAAGAAGATTTAATGGCCCCATTTGGCAGGGCTCAGACAAATGTTTGAAGTCATGTAG